AAACCTGGCGATAGCAGATTTTCAAAAAATGTCTTTAATTGGCAAAATAAAACTGGCAATCCCAGGTTGGCTTCCGCCCCCCCGGGGGAAATCTTACCACCCAGGAAAATCAGAATTCTGGTCTAGACTGCCTTACTCCTACTTTTCCTCTATTCATACATATAAAATTTTGGAAAATTTTAATAAATATGCAAAAGGCTGAAGATGTTTGAATGACTGATATTTAGGTAAGAAATCCAATTCTTAGAGCATATTTTAAAATCCAGGGCAAGTGACAAGTGATGATAGTGGCACTGTTAAAGAAAGTCAATTTCAGTAATACCATAGATCAACGACTTCACTATCTTCACAGGCCTGCAGGGTGACCAGATTCCATTAAGTCTTGAAGGACTCTGTGGTGGTTGATTCTGAGCCACAGAATTTTCACACAGCAAAGTAACTTTAAATCTCAGAGTAAGCGAAGAAACAAACAAAAAACTCACTTGTAGTCCTGGCCCTGACCAGAGTGCCACAGAGGGTAAGGTGCTTACCTCTCTGAATCTTTGCTTCCTCCTCTGTAAAATGGGAATAAATTCCAGGATTGCTGTGAGGATCAGACAGTGTCCCTTCTGCTGGCATATAGTAAGTGCTCAATAAATAGGAGCTACTGTGAATAGAATGTTACATTTTGTATGCGCAGACAAGTAAAGTACTTAACCAAAGTCACAAGCTAGTTAGTGACAGAGCCTTAAATGAAAAGCCCAGGTTCCTCATTCTTACTCCAGTTTTTTTCTAGAATGCAATGCTGCCGGTGCGGGTGAGGGGGGGGTGAAGGTGGATGCTACGTGGTACAATCATTTTAATTCAAAGTTAACAGCTAGCTTCCAACAGTTACACAAAAATAAAACAAAGGCTGAGAAATATAAAATTTTATGGGTTTGTTTTCTTATATAGTTGTAAACTTCTACAATAGAACTAATTTGTTTCCATTTCTTAAACTTCATAAAACTGCTCCTGTACTTTTTTAAAGTTTATTTATTTAAGTAATCTGTACACCCAACGTGGGGCTCAAACTTATGACCCCAAGAGCAAGAGTCACATACTCTTCCAACTGAGCCAGCCAGGCGTGCCTGCCTTGTACTTTTTTAAGGACCTCTCAAATTATGCTAGTTATATCAGGCTAATTCAATTCTGTGGATACAAAATCCCACTTGAAAATAATACTCCACCTAGACAGTTTCCATTAAATAGGTCAATTAGTAAATAGTCTTTTAAAAAAAATTTTTACTTAAATTTTTTTAAGTAAATACAATCTCTTTAGCTTTTCATATCCTGGTAAATTTTGTGTGTGTTTTAAACCAAATCAACTTGATTTGATAAACAATACCAAAAAAAAAAAAATCAACATTTTGCTCATTTATAATTTTACAAAATAAGTTATCTCAAATCCCTTGGGATTTCCACTACAATCTTTTATAGAAAGTTCAAGTGAATCTGACTCTCTGTAAAAAGGTACTTACTGGGGCCACTCTTCTAATCTCTGAATTACATGAGGCCGTCACTTTAGTGACCCACCTGGGTTGGCGTATTCTCAGGCTCTTCCCTGCCATGCTGTGGGGCCTGGGGTCTTTTCCAGACTCTGCTGTCATGAGCAGTACACATCCGTAAGCCCAGACAGGGAAAGTCCACTGTGGAAGTGAATCTTTCTCTATGTGGATCCAACTGTACTACTGAAACTTGAAAAACTACCTCAGAAGGACAATTTGCCATGAGCTAAACTGCTCAGCCAGTAGGCATTCAGGTGAGGCAACCACAATTCTACACCACACCCAACATTACATTTAAATAGCATTTTTCTAAAGGAACCTGCAGAATGAATTTATCTCTACAGCATTCCAGTCAGGAGCTAGCCTCCCAGACAACAAGCCCTCTTCCTACTGCCCGCATTGGAGGGGCCTGGCCTTCCACTGCGTTCTTCAAATGTTCCGTACACATCTCCACCACTGCTCTTACCAACATGGGTCAACCTGTTCCCCACAGGCTCTGAGCCACTTCTGGAGAGAGGCCATGTCCCGTTTACCACTGAATCTCCAGTGGGTAGCATAGTACTCACACCCAGTAGGTGCTCAGTAAATGATCTGATAGTAAGAAGGAAAAAACAACTCAGAGGCAGAGATTGAAGGGGGGCTAGTTAGCATTCTTGAAGTGTCTTCATACTCTGGATTAGACCAGAGGTTATCAACTTTCTCTGAACTTCCCACAATTAATAAACAGTTAGCGAGCCAAGAACTATAGGCTATATTTGGAAGAAACAAAAATGAGCAAGACAAAAACCCAACCACATAAGGAACCCCACAGTGGTAGCAGCGTGGGAGATATGTGAAGTGTATATATTTATGTTTGCCAAGAGGACAGAGAACCAAACTGCCTGGTCTCCTTGCCTCCTGTTTCTTCATCATTCCCAAATAAATATCCTATGTAATACTGCCAAATTAAGTTTCACTGTCTCCATGCCAACGCTATATTCAGAGGCCTTTCCAGCTCCAACTGCTATGGGATAAAGTCCATGCTCCTTAGGATGGCAGTCAAGTCTTGAAGCTTTATTCCTAAAGTCTACTAATGAGTCTTTCCCAGAATGTGGCCATGAGATTGTGATTTACACTAAGAAATAAAAATTTGGCCTTTGTCCCCATTCCAATCACAGAATTGGATTCTGTGATTGGAATTTTCTAGGGAGCAAATTATAAAGGTGTCTTTTAGTATGTTAATGAGGTGACTTTTGGAATGCCCCCAGCTCACTAAAAGATGGGGGCTGGTCAACAGAAGAACCAACTAAGTGATTAGAGGGTGTGAATTTTTGTCCCCCACCCCAAGGAGAATAAAGGGGCTGGAGACTGAGCCCAATCACGAATGGTTAATGATTTAACCATGCCTATATAATGAAGCCTCCATAAAATCCAAAAGGGCACGTTCAGAGCTTGGGGGCTGGTGAACACGGCGGTATACTGGGGAGATGTCATGCTCAGAGACCGTGGAAACACTGGACCCGTTCCTGAATTACATCCTTTTATAATCAACTGATAATCTAGGAAGGAGGTTTCTCCGAGTTCTGTGAGCTGCTCTAGCAAATTAATCAAGCCTAAGGAGGTGGTTGTGGGAATCTCTGATCTACAGCTGGTCATTCAGAAGTACAAGTGAAAACCTGCACCTGCAGTTGGCTCTGAAGTGGGGGGAGCAGTTTTGCCCGACTGACCCCTTAGCCCCTACTCAGAAAACTCTTCTTCACCTCTTCTCTTTCCCACTCTAAAGCACATCTTTGCCTATCTCCTAAGCCCCCCTCCACCCACCCAACCTCTCATTTATCCACCCATCATTGCATGGGCTGATTTCTCTTTATCACACCGTACCATCATATTATCCCTCATTTTTATACATTTTGAAGTGTGCAGCCATAAATACTGATACTTCTAAATTGCTTTTACCTCTATTTATATCAGGTACTAAAATAACAATGTAAACCTCATTTGATCGTTCAGTAACTCTCTATCCTTTATATGATCCAAGACTGGATATTTAAAACAGGTTTGGTTATGCTACTCAATTTTAATACCATGGTCCCAAGGGCATCATTTTAAAAACAAAGGGTACAGAGAGCCTAAGTATTTCCCAAATAGTCTATTCCAAAAAAGGACCAAGGGAAACACTTCTCAAAGGTGAAACAAAAAAGACAGTATGAAATTTGGGGGTTTAATTTTCCAATTAGACATTGAAAATGTAGCATTGTTCTGTTACATGACATTTAAAAAACGATTCTTAACCAAATTGTACTGCCTTGGCTACCGCTGGTTATAATGCTAAATAGGATACTTTTAATTCTCTATTTCACATTTAAATACTACTCAATGTTTCTTGGACCTCCTTGGGGAAATCCTTTAATGCCTATCACTGAAGGTGACAGCCCTTTACTTTGAAGAATTACCTCATCTATGTGGTTCCCCTAGCTTTGACAACTTTAACGGGTTTTCCACAGAAAAAAACTACTACCCACACCAACCTGACAAACCTCGATTCCAAGTCCCCTAAAATTTGACTTCATTAAAAAAACTTCCCCTCTGCAGTTTCAATTTTAGATCCTCAAGACAAAATACTTTCTGACCTGGAGAGTTACTGCATTTACTTTATTGCTGTACTTCACCCACCTAGGAGATTTTGGAGGACTCCTCCCCATTTCAGCAAGTCCTCAGGGTTATCTGAGGTCATGGCCAAGTACAGCTGAAGTCCCTCTGACCCGCATTGACAGTTAAAACGAGAAATTTAGTGCAGTTTTAGTCTTAATATTCTCCATAGATCCTCCGCAGGGAATTTCAAACTTCATTATTTCAGTGGATCAGAAAAGTGAGTTCAAAATTAGCAAAGAAGCCCTGGTTCTCACAAGGCGAGGGTAAGCACTGGAATTCGCTCAAGATGACCCACTTTGGCCATTTAGCCAGGCGCACAGCTTCAACTTCACTACACTGCCCGACTGCTTCCCACCTCGTATCACCTTTTCTCTTGGCTGAGTAATGGAAGGGCCAGGAGTTTCCGTGGAGAGATTCTCACACTGTTCTTGAATGCTGGACGGGACCAATGTATCACCCTGGTCTTATGACCGGCCCTTGGGGGGTGAGAGAGGGGACGCTGGTTCAATAACCAGCTCGGATCAGGGACGTGGGAGGGGCGTGAGGGGTTTGTGCCGGGGGAGAATGGACGGCCCGGAGGCCCCAAGGACAAGTCTGCGTGGAGACTACACGAAAACCTCGGTCTGGCTTTAGGAACAGTATCGAGGGACTTCCACTGGGGCCGCCCCTCCCCCTAAATTTCACCGAGAGGCCCATCCACCGAATGCAAGGCCACCCAGCTGGAGAGGGAAAGGCTCACAAACGCGAAGAGAAACGAAGCCGGTAGGGCGCTGGGCACCCGGGAGGGCAGCGCCGGCGGCGGAGGGGCCCAGCCGGGGTCCGGCCCAGCCCCGGCGCCCTTACCCACGGTGGACTTGCAGGCCTCGCAGAAGGTATCGTCTGTGAAGCGCTCCATCAGGCTGGTCTTGCCCACGCCGCGGGAGCCGATGATGATGACCTGCAGCTTGAAGTCGGCCGGCCTGGGGGGCTGCTTCCTCCGGCGAGCCTGGCCGCCCGACAGCGCCGGGGAGCCCGCGCCCAGGCCGCCGCCGCCCCCGGCCCGCCTCTGCAGCGCGGCGCCCGGATCCATGCACGCATACGGCTCCCGCTCGGCCCGCCGCCCGCCGCCGCCCGCTCCCGGGCCGCGCGCCCCGGGCCCCGGCGCCCCCTCGGCCTCCGCCGCGCGCCGGGGGTCGACCCCGGGCTCGGCGTCCGCCCGCTCGATCGGCCCCGGCGGCTCGTGGGCTCCGCGCTGCAACTGCGCCGCCGGCCGGCCCCCCGCGACAGCGTCCGCGCCGCCGCCGCCGCCGCCGCCGCCACCACCACCACCGCCGGGGGAGGAGGAAGGGAAGCAGCTACTCCGCAGCAGCGGCAGCAGCATCCCGGACAAGGAGGGGCAGGAAGCGCAGGCGCAGGCACGGGGCGGGCGGGGCGGGGCGGGGCGGGGCCGCGGGACCCGCGAGGGGCTCGCGCGTCCCCTGCCGGCGGGAGGACCGCGCGCCTAGCGCTCCCGGTCTGTCGCTGCCGTCTTCTGTTTGCGTACACCTCGTCCTTACTCTCCCGTAGGCTGCTGCGCCGGTTCCGTTGCCCATTTTTCCCTGTCTCTTCTTTCTGTCGGCTCTTGTAACTTCTCTCTCTTCTTCATCCTCCCCCCTTTTCCTTTTTCACTGGTCCTTTCCCTTCTTTCACTAAGCACAGTCCCCAAACACCACCGCAGTTTATTAGCCATCTATCCCCCAAACCTGTTACATTCTCAAGATAACATGCCCAAATCAGTGTTGCAAACTCAAGATGGGTTTGAGTTTGTAAGCATGCATTCCTTGTATTTGAGCTGTGCGAGCTGGGACGCTCGCAAGTGCCTGAGCCAGGCCTTCTCCGTCACACCCTGTCAAATGGGGACTCCTGTTCAGACCCAATCACGCCAAGGTCCCACTCTCTCCCTGTGGGAGGTAGATTTCTTCGTCTTTCCCTGTCATGTCTGTCTTTCACAGGAAGAAATGTCATGTCTTTTCCATAGGAAACACACGAAATCCGTTATTTTTAGCCCTGATTGCTGCCTCATTCAGAGTTCAGCAGTTTTTATTCCGTTTCACTTTTAATATAAATAAATGGCATGCTCCTTTGGGGGAGCGAGTGAGTTAAACCTCAAACAGTAGTAAGGAACTCCCAAGATTGACACGCCAAAATTTAGGAATTATGGACTCGCGCAGGGTGTTTTGCCACTTCTAGCTGAAAGGATTTAAGGATACAGAAAATCACTGTTGTGATTCTTCGCCAGGGATTTGTTTAGCAAATTCCTCAGCGTGAATTTGAGCACCTTAGAACACAGGGTTCTAAATATGATAGGAGCTGGCACATTTGCTGAGAATGATCACGTAACCCACCGGATTTAAGCTTTATTTAGAACTGGGTTTGGTAATGCATAGTACATGTGGATGTTACTCTACAAACCTGATTTGTAAAAATCTTGTATTGCCCATAAATTAATTGTAGGAGAGTCCTTTTAGCTTTCCAAAAGCAATCATAATAGTTTTTTTCTTTTTTCACTAGTTCTTACGATATTTGAAATATGATTGGATCTCTATAATTTTAAATCTCTATAATTTTAAACACAGCTCCATCATTTACAATCAAGGAACCACTCTCAACTGTGGGTTTCTCTCCTCTGCCAAAGGAAGGAGAGTAGTGACCCTCTTGCCATTTAGCAATGTCAGGAAGCAAGCACATCCCTCTTGGAGCATGCATGGCCTCATCAGTCCTGACGTCCATACCAAACTTTGGTGGGAGTCCCTCCTGTTGTCCGGTGTGTCCATGATAGACATGTTGGTCATTGATAATGATGCGCACCTGGTATTTTTGTAATGCTCTGTGGCCTGAAGAGCTAGTTGTGAAGTTTGTGCTCTATGCAATTACTCATAGTCAATATACTGTGGTAAGGGAAACTTGAACTGTTGGGGAAATGGTGTTATTTAACTAAATTGTGGTAACTGAAATTTCTGCTTATCCAAGCCTGCAAAGAGATTACTGTCTGTACCAAAAAGCGTTCATTATAATAAGGGTGGGAATCAGATTGCATCATTCTCTGCTAACAGATCTCTGAGTTTTGTCCAGACACTCACACTGCTCTGTCAAGTCATGTGCTTCAGGTAAAGTGTGCCCAAGCTTCAGGACCAGGGGGAAGAATGTTGTTTTGTCTCAGTCAGTCACTCAGATTCTATCCTCCTTGCCAGTAAGTGGCTCAAAAGAAGGGCATTTGACCAAAGTCTGGTCAATGAGAAATGCAGGGAAATCTTTAAGAGGGCAGAGCTTCTGGTAAAAGGTTTTGCAGCTCTTTAAAAAAGACTCGGGGGGGGGGGGAGGGTGAACAAAAACAAAAACAAAACAAAAAAGGCCCAAGGAAGAGATAGTTCCTCTTCTGCCTTTGACCTTTTGTGTGAAAGGTGTAATGCTTATAGGAGTTTCAGCCATCTTGCTGTCTTGAGCTAGCTGACAGGTTGTAGATGGCAGAGTGGACAGATGAAAAAAACCCTGGGACTTAGATGTGGTTGTGAAGGCACTGAATTAACCAACCATGGAGAGAGCCCTGCCCCACCCCACCTAGGGACATCTTACCATGCAAGAGAATAATTGTTGTTTAAGTCTTTTGAGGTAGGTTTTTTCATATATGGAGCTGAGAGAATCCTAACAAATACAGGGAATGCATGCTTACAAATATATTATAGAGGTAAGCTTGAATCAGCCCTAATCTTTTTTAAAGAATGTACTTTATCAGTAACAAATTACCTGTGATGTGCCTGACAACTGGTCACAACGCACAAGTGTTTCGTGGTCCTGCCATTCAGAACTGGGCTGCGTACTAGCAATGAAGGGAAGGCAACAGGCGGGAATAGCTAAAGAAGAATACCAAATTCAATATATTTCCCTAAATCAGAAGTCCAAATAACATTCTATTGGACATGGAGACTGCTATAAAAAAGCATCATCCAAAAACTCAGAGTAGATCCAGGTTTTGTGGAGCGTGGCAATTTGGGGGTCATTTTTTAAGAAAAGAAATTTCAAAATTACAAATGCAAAACCATCAGGAAATGGAGAACTGCTCAGGGTCTGAGATGTTACATACTTGCAAGCTAACAAGTTAGCTCAACACAGTTTCATGGGTGCTGGCAAAAGACAGGAGGCTCCTGGGTCAAAGGCATGGACACGTGGAGAGGCAAGTAAGTCTCGGTTTTTTTCCTGCCAAGACACACTGCCTTGCCCCCAACCCCCAAGTTTTACTATGTAACTGACATATAACATTATTTTAGTCCGAAGTGTGAAACATAATGATTGGATATTTTTATATATTGTAAAATGATCAACACAACAAAGTTAACACCCATCAACTCCCATAGTTAGGATTTTTTGTGTGTAATGAGACCTCTTTTTTTTACTCTTCTAGCAACTTTCAAATATACACCACAGTATTGTTAACTACAGTTTCCATGCTGTACATTACCGCCTATGACTTGCTTATTTTATAACTGGAAGTTTGTACTCTTTGACCCCGTTCACCCATTTCACCTACTCTCACGTTGCCACCTCTGGCAACCACCAATCTGTTTTTTGTATCTTCAACTTCACTTCTTTTAGATTCCACATAAAAATGAGATCATACAGTATTTGTCTCTCTGACTTATTTCACTTAGCATGATACCCTCAAGCTCCATCCTTATTGTTGCAAATGGCAGGATTTCCTTCTTTTTAAAGGCTGAATTATATTCCATGTGTGTATGTGCACATAACAAATTTCTTATCCATTCATCCATTGATGTACACTTCACTTGTTTCTATGTCTTGGCTATTATAAACAATGCTGCAGTGAACATGGGGCGCAGATATCTTTTTGAGATAGTGCTTTCATTTTTTTGGATAACTACCCAGAAGTAGAATTGCTGGACCAGATGGTAGTGCCATTTTCAATGTTTTGAGGAACCTCCATACTGTTTCCCACAGTGGCCACACCCATTTATAATCCCACCAACAGAAGGACACATTTTATTAGTTGACCTTATTGCTTTATTACTCCTAGCACAGCGAGCAACATGAGCATCATATTCACCTCAGTTCCCTTTGTCCCCAAGTCCCACAACTGCTGTGGAACTGGGTCCAGGCAGATGCTGGACAGAGTGGGGTTTGCAAGGCAGCTGAGGAGCCTCAGGCTTGGGAACCCCAGTCTTTAACAGGGATGCAAACAAACCAGCCCAGCCTTTGCCAGGAGGGAGTCATTGTCTCTATTACACTGGTAAGCAGATAAATCCTCCCTCTGGCTTGAAAGGAGCTAGGATCTTATTCTTCCAAGGGCATTTGCTATACAAACATCCCTGAAAAGATTGTCAGGAACAAAGGTTGTCAGTGCCCCTGCTTACAAGATGTGCAGAAGCACAAGAGACCCACAGAAAATTATCTCCCAACAAAATTTAGGTAAAATGTAAATATTTTTTCTGAATGATAAAATAAACAATAATTCACAAATTTAAAAGAGCTGATAAATGCTCTGAACAAAATTTTAAAACTTAGTATTTTCTTTAGTGAATTGCCTGAATCGTATCTGGAATTTATTTTTACTACATTTGTTGGCTGCATACATTGATTATACGAAATAATTTTGTAATATCTTTTACAGAGAGAATTGAAATGCAGTCTTTCTTCTAGCGTGGTTGATTGGAATTTTTAACATTTTGTTACTGATTGTTGGAACAAGTAAAACACATGAGACTTCCTATCCAGACATACTCTCTGTTCACATTCTGCTATAGGTTTTTGTCCTACAAACACAGGAATTCTGATCAACACCATTTTCATTCAAAAAGAAAACAAAATGTATCATGTGTTTATAATTGTTTACACTTCGCTTTTTTTTAAAAAAAGATTTATTCATTTATTTTAGAGAGCGGGGCGGGGGAGGAGCAGAGGGAGAGGGAGAGAGAGAGACTCCCAAGCAGACTCCCCGCTGAGCGAGGAGCCAGGCTCCATCCCACCACCATGAGCTCAACACCTGAACCGAAATCAAGAGTCAGTTGCTTAACCGACTGAACCACCCAGATTCCCTGTCTACACTTCACTATTAAGTGCATCCTTTACTGGAAAGAATTCCACTTTGCTTGGGCACTGATGAGGACTGAATTTTCCACTTAGAATTTTGTGCTTCTGATTATTGGAAGAACACTCCTCAGATGCGTTTCTGGCTGCACCTGCCATTTCCCCTCCAGTGTCCATGTATTTTTGGTGCCAGCTAGCAGGACATGTTCTAATTGCAATATGACTTCTGA